AGGGGAGATTCAGGCTGGACATGAGGAAGTATTACTGTTCAGAAAGGGTGGTCAGGCACTGCAATGGATGCCCAGGGAGGTGGTGGAGTCACCGAGCCTGGGGGTGTTGAAGGAAAGGCTGGATGTTGTGTTGAGGGACGTGGTTCAGTGGGAGCTGTGGGGAATGGGGGAACGGTTGGACTGGATGAGCTCTGAGGTCTTTTCCAACCTTGGTGATTCTATGGTTCTATGAGTTGGGAAGGCCGGTGCTGGTCCCTGTGGGCAGGAGGTATCACAGAGCATCCATCCACGTCCACTGCGTGGGGCTGCATCCGCAGAGCGGTGCTGAGCTCCAAGTGTGCAGTGGAGGCTGTGCCTGCTCTTCCCAGGAGGCTGTCAGTCAGCTGCCTAATAAATCTCGTGGAAAGCAGCAAAGCCACGGGGCTCCCTGGAGCTACAGAAGGAAATGATTTAATTGCCTCTTTAATAGAGAAAGGAGTTGCCTGCGTGCTGCGACTGGATGCTTTGAATAGGCTGATTTGTACTGGGAAAGATTCTTGGGATTCAAGTGCATTGCCAGAGGCTCTGGAGAGGCTCACGGAGCATCGATTTGTTTTGACGTGTCACAGAGGTGTTAATTGAGCGTGAGAGCCAGGAAAATAGCGAAGCCTCCCTGAGAGTGAATGGGTCTCTCCAAGGCTCAGCAAAGCCTTCAGCAGCACTCAGAGCAGCGCTGGGCTGAGGATTTATGGAGGTTTCAGAAGCCATCCTGCTCCTTCCAGGCTGAGCGGGGAAAGCTTTTGTTTTCCTTGGCAAAGCGATGAACCCAACAGCGCAAAACAAAGATGCTGAGAACATGACAAATGCTTTCGTGGCATCGCTGTGGTTTATTTTCTGCATCTTGGAGTTGTTGAAGGATGTCGGTCTCCAAACGTTGCAGACTTGAAACCCTCTGTGCTGAGATGTCCCCTCTGCTGCCTGGGCAGGGCTCAGATCTTCCCAAAGTGTCTTTGTTCCCCCCAAAGTCGGAGCCTTCCTGGCACAGAGGGAAGTTCCTCACCCTGGGACCCTGGGCTGGACGAATTCCTGCTCTGTCTTTTAGGTGTAAATGCATTCAGTGCAAGGTGTGAAGGGTCCGACCCCACCACATGCAGCCCATAGGCTCCCATTCCCATGCAACCCTTGCAATCTCCTGTTTTCCCCCAGCTTCAGGACCGCTGCCTTCAGCACGCCACGTTTCGCATGCATGCAAAGCCACAGACCGTTCCTGCAAAGGTTCTTCTATCCTGGGCTTTTGTATTTCTGGCTCTGTGCAGTGACTGAGCGTGGGGCAGCCGAAGCCATGGCTGCTGAGCTGTGTCCCTCAGTGAGGTTTGTGCTCTGGCTCCTTTACTTCGCAGCTGATGCAGAAATGTGCTATCAGATGACTCAGGCTGTCGGTGGGAGCAGTCCTTCTCCAGGGCCTTTTTCCCCTCTGCCAAGTCTGGAGGAATTGCAAGTGTGGGTTTTGCAACGGCGAGTTGGCAGGAGAAAAAGGAAAGTGACAAAGCATGAGAAAATACTTCAGCAAAACGCTGCCTGTCAGAGGGGTCACGGGGGGGGGGGGCCGGGCTCAGAAGTGACTGTGGTGACACTGAGCCCAAAGGAGGGTCCTTTGCTTTTAAGGAGGAGGAAAAGGAGCAGATGCTGTGTGTGCTTCCCAGTAGAACAGGTGAATCCAGCACCCCCAGCGGAGGTCCCAGCTCTGACCTGTGCCTTCACACGGCTTCCTTCCAGCTGGGTTATATTTGAGGAGCACCGAACCCCTCCTGAAGCGCTTCGTGCAGACGTTGCGCTCCCTGCAGATGCCTTCAGCCCCCCCCCAGCCCCTCTCAGCCTTCCTGCTGCTCCCTCTGAGCACCGCTGGGCTTCACATTGCACCTGCAGCAGCACAGGGCCGTGCAGTGGAAGGATGCTTCCATGGCGTCGGTTGCACGCAGGTGAGCCGTCGGTGCTGCTGTGACTCAGCCCAGGGGTGAGACAGGGAGCGGTGGGGCGGGCAGCCTCCGGTCAGCCTTGCCACATCCTCCCTGCCCATATCTGTGGGATCCATCCCAGCCCCGTCCCAAATAACAGGGATCTGTTGCAGCCCTGTCCCAAATAACTCAATGCTTAGTAGGAGGCAGCGGCGCGGAGCTGGGAGGCAGCGGCGCTTGGCCACCTGGTGCTCCTCTCCCTGCTCGTGTCTCCACAGCTGAGCTTTTCCCACGTCTTCTGAGCTCAGCTGTGCGCTGCTTCTTCCACCTGGTGTCACCTGGCTGCATCCCAGGGGGGAGAGCCGCCGAGTGCAGCCCTCTTCAAGCTGCAGAACTGTGCACAAAGCAGCAAAAAGCAGCATCGGAAACGTGACGGCTCCTGCCCTGCTGAGGGAGCTGGGCTCGTTCAGCATGGAGAAAAGAAGGCTGGGGGTGAGCTGAGTGCAGCCTGCAGTGCCTGAAGGGAGCCTGCAGCCAGGAGGGGAGGCAGCTCTGTGAAAAGGGAGATGAGAGCAGGACGAGGGGAAATGAAGCTGAAGGAGGGCAGATGGAGGTTGGATGTCAGGGAAGTTGTGTGCTGTGAGAGCGGTGAGGGGCTGAACAGCTGCCCAGAGAGGCTGCGATGCCCCGTCCATCCCTGGAGGTGTTGGAGGCTGGATGGGGCCCTGGGCAGCCTGAAATGTGGAGGTTGGTGGCCCTGCATGGCACAGGGGGGTCAGAGCTCCATGATCCTGGAGCTCCCTCCCAACCCAGCCATTCTGTGACTCTGTGAAACCTGCAGCTCAGCACGGCGCAGCTGTTTTGGAGCCGAGCCCTGGGCTCTGCTGGGACAGAACCTGCTGTCGTTTTGCTGTAACCAGCTGCAAAATGAGTTTGACCTTTCAGGTGCCTGCTTGGAAGAAGTCGGCGCTTTTACAACAAATGATTTTGCTCCTTCCAGGAGGCGAAGGCTAAATGTCACGTTTGATGAATGAGCGACCTTTCATGGGGGCGGAGGGAAACTCCTCCATGCGCTCCACCCCACACCGACGTCATTTCCATGATGGGGCTGAGTAACGTTTTCCAAGAAGTCAGAGATGGCAGCTTAGAGCTGCATCCCATGGGGAAATGCCTGGCGTTGCTGCTGATCTCATTGCTGCCTGCTCTCCTTTAGCTGAGAGCTGGCCAGGGATGTGGGGGACCTCTGTGATGGTGATTTTGTGCCATCAGCGCCTCTTTTCCCCACCCTGGAGGTGTCAGCATCCACGTTGTGTGGCCCTGGGAAGGGCTGGCAGAGCGAGGAGCGGCACTGAGCGCTGGGGAAGCATTCAGGGATGCCTGGGGATATTTGCAGGCTGCGCTGTTTTGTGGTGCCCAAGTTTGCGCTCTGAGTTTGTGCTGCGATGAGGACAAACTTAAACCCCCCTCCCTGCTGTAAGACAGCAGAACTTCAGGAAGGCAAAGCGTCTTAAAGCCTCCTCTTGGCTCTGCCCCGGTTTGGTGTCAGCCCGGTGCCGTTGTGATGCTTCCCCTTCTGCAGGCTGAAAGAGCAAAGTGATGCCAAGCGGGAGCAAAATCCCCATCCTCAGCTCTCATCATTGGCATCGATGCCATTGACATTGAGGAGTTGTGCTCCGCTGTTGTGATGCCCCACGTTTATAGCAGCCATTTGGCTCTGCTTTGCGCCATCGCACAGCGCTGGATGCCTGATGGGCAGAATGGTGGGAAGGAGAATGATGGGGAAACATCACCGGGGTGAACGGCACGCGTCGTGCTTCCCTCGCTGTGTCCTTTCCTCCCTGTGCCCTTGCTCTGCATTCCCTGCTCCCTTAGCAACGTGTCCCCATGCAGAGCTGTGACATCTCCCAGCGCTGTGCCGTGTGGGGCAGTTCTTTGTGCCCCCGTGGGGTGCAGAGGGGGCTGTGGGGTGGGTGCTCTCCCTTGGGCCGTCTCACTGCACGCTGTGCTTCCTTGCAGGTGTCTCCATGTCTCAGCTGTGCAGCTCCTGGGACTTAGACCAGCAAAGCATGGCGTACCTCCCCGATGCAGGTAACCCCACCTGCAGGATCCTCCTCCTGTTTCTCTCTCTCTCTCCAAGCTTAGCAGATTAGAACTCTTCTCTAAAGGCTCTCAGAGGGTTGTTTGTGCTGAGCTCCCATTAAGGTGGATGTGAAACCAAGAACTGAAAGCTCCCGGAGCAGCTTTGGGCTCCAGGTGCCCCATGGCCATTCCCCCATGTGTGTGCAAGCTGTGCAGAACCACTGCACCTCAACGGGGCTGAGAGGAGCCTGGGCTGCCCTGGGATCAAGCCGTAGCAGTTGGGTACACTCCTACTGAGCCTTAAATTGAAGAGCTGTGCTCTTAGTTCTCGATTCCTTTGGGGTTTTTTAACTCGCTTTTGTTCCAGATTTCGTTGTCTGATGGTGTTTTATGCAGGAAATCCCCAGCATCAGCTGAGAGGCTCAAGAAAGCGGCGTGGAGCCAAAGAGGCAGCAGCTGTTTGTGGTGCCTCTCGAGAAAGCATTGAATGGCCTTTAAAATAAAGAAATAGTTTTAAGAAATGGGAGGGGAGGAAAGGAGGGAAAAAGGAAAGGGGAAGAAAGGGAAAAGGCAAAGAAAAAAATGGGGAAAAGGAGAAGAGAAGCAGCCAGGAAAGCAGCCGGTGCCAAGCTCCGTTGCGGCGTTCCTTTCAGCTTCACATGCTCTGCACTGGGAGCCCCATTTCCTTCCTTCCTTCTTTCTGCCCCTTTGAGGATTTGTGGAACGATGCTCATTGGATTTGTGTTTGGGATTTGTCTGACTTACGGGAGCTGCTGCAGTGCTGGCGCTGCTTCCCGTCTGCATGGGGGAAATTCTGCTCCGGCTGTGACCTCTTCCCCTGCGGTTTTGCATCTCTGCTTTGGGTGAATTTGGCTTCTTTCAAGGCTCGTTTTTTTGGAAGCCAAGCGCGAAGGAGTGGAGGAGAAAGGATCTGGGTTTGGAAGTGGGCTGTTGGGGTCTGATTGCTGAAGTGCAGCAAATGAACGTGAGCACGTTGTGCTGTGGGGGTCGGTCCTGCCCTCACCGGGCAGATCCACAAACATGTGCTATGATCCTGCTTGGTGATGGTGTCATGACGTAGAGCCAGAGGAACACAGAAGCTTTTCTTGTCACACTGAATGCAAGCAAAAAAAACCCACCAAAACCAACACCTTTATTTGCATCTGATTTGCTTCTTGTAAAGCTGTGACAGCTGCCACAAACACTGCTTTCCTCTGCCCCTCCAGAGATGGACACCATGGCTGCCAGCACATCCCTCCCCGACCCGGCCGCTGAGTTTGATCGCAACGTGCCCCGAATCTGTGGGGTGTGTGGGGACAGAGCCACCGGCTTCCACTTCAACGCCATGACCTGCGAGGGCTGCAAGGGCTTCTTCAGGTGAGCTGAGCAAAGATTCCCACCCCACACACTGACTGCTGCTGGTGCTCAGGGTGCAGCCCTGCAGGGCTTTGCGTTGCAGGCAGCCAACGTGTCCTCAATAATTCCGACCCCACAAGGTGTTTCCCCTGTATTTCCCTTCTTGTGGCTACCAGGGGCTGTCGGCCATCTGTTAGGAGCCTCGCAGACTTCACATGCTGCATAGATAGGAGCATGCCAGCCTCTAGCGTGAGCCTGGGCTGGGAAGAGCAGACCCAGAGCCGGCGGTCTGGGAGTTTGAACAGCTGTAGTTTTTGTTTGCAGCTGATTTGAGGCTTTTTTCAGCCATCAGGTGAGTGTCTCCTGGTCTGCAGCTGCTCCTAACGAAGGCAAAACCATCCGAGGGCCTGATGAGCTGGAAGTTGGTGGGTGTTTTAGTGGCTCGCTTGCCCTGACGGTGTCAAACCATTCACGTGGGAATTCAGGTCGCTTGCACCAAGTGAGAGAATGACTAAGAGAGACGAGGAGAGATAATGGCTGGCGTGGGACTGGCAGGGAGAGCCTTGCTCAAGCACTGTGTGCTGCAATGAGATGGAGGCAGTGGGCTGCAGACACCAGAGCACATCGCTGTGTGTTCAGCAGGGCTGTGACAGCAACCGGGGCGCAGGTTTGCAGAGCGAAGTCACAGCTCCTCCCCTGGCAGGAATTTTGGGGCTGGATGGAGGTTTTCACACACCGCAGCCTGGCCAACCTGAGCAACCACATTTTCCTCAATTCCTGCTGCTCAGTGAGTGACTCTGCTTTCAGGTGCTGCCCTTCACGCTCTGGTTTGGTGGCCCCAAGCTTCCCTGTCCCCTCCGTGCCTGCGGTGGCTGTGGGGTGGATGGGGCTGATCCTGAACTGGCTGCAGAGCAGCTGCTATCGCTGTCAGCCCTCCTCTGCACTCTGCTGCTTCCCCATCTCTGCTGGTGCAATCATGTGCAGCACGACACGCAGCTGCAGCAGCATTTCTGAGCAGATGTTTTAATGGTGTGAAAAGCACTCATCGTCAGCTAGCCCTTCATGCCCCCTATAAGGCCTTGATTTTCAATTTAAGGCTCTACTTTTCCTTCATCTTGCTTTCCAGGCACGCCATCCCCATGCTGGGTCTTGGTGTGTTCTTTCTTGCCCAACCAGGCTTGTTTACAAGCTATTTAGAACCGGTGAATTGAGTAATCCTTGTTGCTACCACAATGTGCAGGTGCTTTCTGCCTGAAAACACCACAGCACTGCTATGGGGGAAGCTGGACCCCTTAAAACTCACCCAGAAAATCTACGCATCCCTTTGCACAGACCACAAACACTTTGTTCCTATGTGCACTTGCTGGTTTTAGCTCCCTGAGCAGGTTTTTGAAGAGCCAACGCACAGATACCAATTCCTGGTGGCTGCCTTGCAAGTCAGAATTGAGCCTGGAAGGAACAGAGGAGGTGAGGGGATTCCAGGCTGCAGTGGCAAAACCTGGGGTGAAGGAACTTCCCGGTCGGTCCCAGCTGCTTTGGGTCGTATCTGTGTGGACGATTCCCCAGCATGAAATCAGGACCTGGGTTTCATGGCTTTATAAAAGGCGTTAGGAATTTACTGGCACCTCTGGGTGCTCAAACGTGCACGTAAGCTGCAGCACAAACAGCCCTGAGGCAACCTTTGGCCGCTGGCTTCAAAGGCCGCTGTTTATTAATGATGCCAACGGCAACAGTGGCCTTTTATTGAGCTCTGCTGTTTGCTCAGGGGCTCTTAAAATGCATCTAAGCCAGGGTGATTTATTCTGCTGCGACTTGGCTGAAGCATCCGCAGTTTCTCTGGTTTATTGTGAAGTTCCAGCGCAGTGACACTGGGTGTTCATAGCAGAGCTGCTCGGAAAGGCTCTGCGTGTTTCAAAACCCAGCAGCTCCCCACCCATCCTGTCTGCATCACCGTTTCTCCCACTCCTGTAATCCTCCCCAGTTGGTCTTTGCCCTGTTCTCCATAGAAGTAGAGATGAATTCCTCTTTTCTTTTGAAATAAATCCCCGGGGCCGTGAGCCGTTCAGCTTCCAGTCTCCATCCTGTTGTGTTGCCCTCCTGTTCCTGTTGCTGGAAGGAGGCAACCTGTGAGCTGCTGCTTGGGTTGTGAGTGGTGCTGAGTTGATGGCGTGGCAGTGATGGGTTGATGGTTGGACTGGTGGATCTTAGTGGCCTTTTCCAGCCTTTATGACTCTATGCATGGGAGAAAGGAGGCTGAAATCCACGTAATGCAGAGTCCAGGAGGTGCATCCAGCAGGAGATGTGCACCTGGCCGAGGTGAGAATGGTTTGGATGAGCCAAAATGCTGGTTTAAATGGTAGAAAGTGAGCAGCAGAAACCAGGCACAGCAGCCTTACTCCTCAGCTTGCTTCGAGGCCTCATCCTAAAGCCTGCTGCCCAACAAAAATGTTCCAAGGGGTCTCCAAAGACAGGTTGGGATAAGAGGTGGCTGACGGCTCCCAGAGGGATTTGGGGGAGAGAATGAGAACGGTGCCAGAGGGCCAAAGCTGTTGGACTTGCTGTTGATGCTGGGCTTCCCTGGGGGCTGTGGAGGTGCAACGAGGAAGGAATAAGAATTATCCAACCCCAACGTGTGACAGCTTTGCTCTGTTTTATGGGTAAAAGGCAGTGCCAAAATGAATCCCAGTGGTGCTTACAGGGATGGCGACTGAAATGTGGAGTCGGGAAGGCTGCAGTGGGGTTTGGTGAGGAGCAGGGCTGCTTTTGGGACCTGCAGCATCACGTGGGCTCCGTCAGTGTGAGAGCCGTGTGCGCTGAGATCCCACTTCACTCGCACAAAGATCAGCGCCGTGGGGCTCAGCACAGCTCTGCCCATCCCTGTGGGTTGGGAGTCCCATAGGCAGGCTTTGCAGCCTCCATCCCTCCTTCTGCAGGCACCGAGCCACAATTTGGGGCAACGCTGGTGCAAATTCTCTCCCTGTTTCCCCATCACAGCACGGGCAGAGCTTGGGGTGATCCGGGTGACCCCAAACTCGCTGCAGCCTTCCTTCCCCATCCCCGGCTGAGGCTTTGTTTACTGCCACCAGCTCAGTGCAGGGAGGGAAGGTTATATTTAACATCCTGCCTGGGACGGGGCTGTAAATGAGCCCTGAAATGGCCACTTGTGGGGCTGTACAAAAATACACCGGAGCCAGACGGCTGCGCTCGCTCTGCTGATGCAAGGCTGGGCGCTGCGGGGCCGCCGACCCCAGGGCAGGGAAACGCTGCTCAGAAACCCTCCGTGGTGCCCCGCCGCCCTGGGTTCAAATAAGCTGCAATTTTCATTCCAAAACCATAATGTTGGCTTGCACACAGGGCAGCTTTCCCCGCTCCGGGGCCTCACGTTCCTCTTGTTTGTGCCCTCCCCAGCCTTGCCCTGGGCTGTGGGGCAGAAGACGCTGCTCCAGATACCCAAAAATTACAAAGATTTGTTCACCGAAACTGGGGGATTGAGGGGTGTTTGGTTGCAAACCCTGCTTTGCCCCTGGGCTGGGCAGCGTTTGTCCTCGTTCCTGGAACGATGCTGGTTTTAGCAGAAGGGGAAAACCCAGAGAAAAGCGGTCAAACCAAAACCCAGCTGTAAGGCAGAACGCAGAGGCAGGGCTGCGGAGGCAGGTGCTGGAGGCTCTGCCATCAGCTTCTCCTGAATTCATTTCCCCAGATGCGTTTACACATCTGTGAGGTGAGAGGAGGGTGAAACCTGGCTGTTTACATCTCCGTTTGGAAAGCAGCCTCTAATTGCACCCTCACGGGTCTGCAGCCCAGGAGCACCGTGTGTATTTATACCCTAGAGGCACAGCCCTGGCGCTGCTCCTGGCCTGGAGATCCCTGTCCTGTGCCCACGGAGCTCAGGACCGCGTCCACTTGGCATTGCAAGAGCATTTTATCACTGCTCCTCCTTGCAGGACTCCATATGGGGGCGTTAATTTCAGGCGGTTTGGTTTCTCACTGTTGTACTCCAGCTGTGTCTCGGTGCTGCTCTCTTTCCATGTGCTTTTCTGCTTTGTTTGCCCTTCTGATCACTTCATTTCCAGCCCAGGGGTTCAGTTTGCCTCCATTCAAACTCACATCTTCATTTAAAATGAGTGCTGTGTGTAGAAATGCACGTAAAGATAAGCCTTGCTCGCCGATGGAAGATCATCGAGTCGCTTTCTCCAAAGCAGAGATGTGGCATCGCCGAAACCACCCTGAATGGCCAAACTCAGTTGTCCTGCAGTGTGTCATTAGTGGATATCAGGAGCTTGTAGCTGGGACCTGTGGCTTTGACCCTTTGTACTTGGAAGCTTTGCAGTCCTGATCGTAGCAGCGGATTAACGTGGCACGGTGTGGTTTTGGTGGAAAAGAGGTTATTATGTTGAGTGTTGTTTCTCTCATGTCCTGCAGTGAGGTTTTTCTCGTGCACATGCAAGCATGCACTCCAGCCAGTTATTCTAGCAAAGCCAGGCTTTAAAGGCTGGTAAATGTTTAATAAGGCCGCTTTAGTACATGCTGCTGTGTCCTCTGGTTTCTCTGTCCCTGGATGGACATTTCTCTACCGTTCCACCTCCTCCTCTTGGGCTTCAAAACAGCGTGAAACCAGAAAGCCGTTTCAGTGGTGCTGAGCCCGCAGGCTGTGTCCTTTTGAGGGCACCTTTGCCATGCTGTCCAAACCTGGAAGATCAAACCCAAATGTGCATGCACGCAGCTGCGGCCTTCCAAGTTGAGCCTTTCCAAGAGCCCAGCTGAGCTGCTGGGTGTCAGGTCAGTCGTTCCCTCTCTCAGCAGCCTTTCTCCAGCAGTTTTGCTGTCCAGACACTTGGATCTGCGCTCCTGCTGCTTGGAGCATCCCTCGTGCACTGCAAACAGCGCTGTGTGACCCAGGGTGTGTTGTTGATTTTTTTTTGTCCCCTCTTTTTCCTCTGCAGGAGAAGCATGAAGAGGAAAGCGATGTTCACCTGTCCGTTCAACGGGGACTGCAAAATCACCAAGGACAACCGGCGGCACTGCCAGGCCTGCCGGCTGAAACGCTGCGTGGACATCGGGATGATGAAGGAGTGTGAGTACGCTGGGTGTGCAGGGCTCAGCCTCGCGGCCTTGGCGCCCTTCTTCTTCAAACCTCTGTGCTCAAGGCTTTAAAACCCGCACGAGGATTCGAAGAGGATGCAGAGGGCAGGGGGACGGCGTGGGTAATGATTGCACGGGGCTCATTTAATGATTGAGGCGTTCGTGAGCTGGCTTTGCTGGCAGCTGCACGGTGAGCACATCCGGGGCTGTTGCTGATTAACTCACGGATGGAGCCCATTCACGTCCTGTCCTGTGCAAAGTCATCGTCCTCCCGCAGCACGTGGCTGAGCAGGCAGGGAGAGCTGGAGAGCCTCCGAGTGCTGATGCTGAGGGATGGGGAGCTGCACTCGCAGCCGTTCCACCTTTTGCTCTGCAATAGCTTTATTTCAGGCCCCTGGTCCTGCAGCAGGGTCCGTCCGTCCCGCCACGTGCAACGCAGAGACTTAAACAAATAGCAGAGGGAAGTAAAGCACTTTTTAACCCAATCTAAACAGGTTAATGTTGTCCAAATATTTGGGTTTTTTTTTCCGACTGTATTTATAGATAAGCAGCTTTTAAAAATAAAAGCTGCTTGGCACGTTTCCTCCTACACACGCGTGCTTTCTATGCCCCGAGACTTCAGGAGTTTAAACCAAAATAACAGCCCTCTGCTAGGAGACTGCAAACAGGACAGCCTGTCCCATGATTGATGGGCTTGAAAATTCAGAGCTGGCTTGGCAAATGGAAGTGCTGAACGTTTCCTTATGTGCTGAGCGGAGAACAAACAGCGCCCGGTGGCACGGGGTGCAGATCTGCAAACCAGAACTTGCAAAGAACTTGAAGAAAAATAATGCCTAAACGTTCAGGAGCCCCGGAGATCAAACAGATCTTGAGGAATAGGAGGCCCCCAAATCGTGTAAAGTGCCAGCTGTGCTCTGTAGGGGGGTAGGAAAGCAAAGAGCAGGCAATGCACCAGGTGAATCCTTCTATTGTGAGAGCACAGGGATGGTGAGGAAGCAAACCGGAGCAGGTCTGCATCCCATGTTCTGCCCTGCAGAAACAGCTGCTCCCTTTGGTTTAATGATTGGACACAGCAAAGGGCCAGAGCTGCTCCCTGTAGCTGTGGGAAGCACTGCACAAAGCACAGCTTTGGTGTTCTGCTGCTTTGGCATTTGTTGTCACACCTGATTTCTTGGTTGGAACAGCACTGTTAGGCACTTTCTGCTCCCAAACCCGGCTCTGAGGTGTTCCCAGAGCAGCAGGAGAGCCGTCCTCGTTGATGGCGTGTTTACACTGTGGATCTTATCTCACTCAGAGGGAGGAAAAGCACTGAGCTGATTGAAAAGGAGAGCGCTGAAATGCCCCAGCGCACGAGGCTGCCTGGCTGGGAGCCTCCAGCCCTGGTTACTGCAGTTTGTTTGGCATCACCGTTGCCAACAAGGGAAATGTGTTGACTTGTAGCAGTCAATTACCCAGGGAGGGTCAGAAAATGCACTGAGGGATTCGCCTGCCCGCCTCAGGGTTAACTTGTAAGCGACCCCCCTTAGCAAACGGATTCTGTATTAATGAAACCTAACCGAGGAGCCTAAAAATAGCCTTCCTGCAGCCTCTGCTGCTGCTTCAGTGAATGGGAACAAGGTGTGCTGCTGTTATTTTTAGGTGGCATCGGGGATCTTTGAACTCTTGGGGTGGGCTCGTGTCTTCCCCGGGCTGCGGTTGCTGGCACGGGTAGGGATGGGCTTGGTTTGATGGGTCCGAAGCAGAAATTAGAGCAAAACTGGATAAGGAGGAGGAGGCAGATGTGGACGCTCTTTGTGCTTGCGTTAATTTGAGGTCTGGTGCAGGCAGCTCCGTCTCCTCCTCCTGTCCTACGTCTTGGGTGGCTTTCAGCGTTGCCCCCAGCCACGTCTGCACGGCTCCAGGCTCGGTGCTGCAGTGAGGGGCTCTCAAGAAGGTGAAGGCTTTGTGTGTGTTGAAAATGGCAGAGCAGAAGCCTTGCCCTGCTGCGCTCCCTGGGGAGCTGAGGACAGCCGCTGTCCCCACGAGGGACCAAGGAAGGGATGAGTTGCAGCCATAGGAACACGCTGAGCCCAGCAGTGAGGGTCAGGGCCGGGGGCTGATCCACAGCTGCAATCTGCCAGCAGCGTTAGCAAATATTTGTGGTTTTCCACCCATCTTATCTGCGTGGGGTAAAGCACAGGGCAAGCTTAGGGGACAGCGTCAGGCCACGGGCGAAGGCGAAAGCCGCGTCGTTTGGAAATGTTTTCGGGCTGTTTCCTTTTAGATGGCCCAAGCAATGCTGAGCTCATTCCTTCCATCCCGCAAAATTGCCTCCCGCCAGCTGCGTGGTGCTCCAGAAGGGGCACCCATCCCTCCAGGGCCGTGCGTTACCTGTGGGTAATTCACCTCTCTTGGCCTCGCTGCCCTCTCTTTCCCTTGCTTTTATCAGCTCTGCAGTCATTACAGCACACGTGGGCTGGGGATGTGCTTCCCCTTGGCTGCCTTGTGCTGCGGTGCAAAGCAGGGAGGCAGAAAACACGGCGCTGAATTGAGCGGCCAAAGCAGCCTCACTGCATCTCTCCCTGCTGTGCTACTGCTGGGGGATTTTGGGTGCCTGTCACGGTGCCAGGATCGAGGAGCCTCCTTGGGAGGATCCAGCTGTGCTTGCAGTGTCCTGCTGCAGTTTGTCTGCCTGTGGATGAATTGCAGAGCGTTATGCGGGAGCTGGGATGTGGGGGAAGCGAAGGCAGAGCTGTGGGAGAGGCAGTGGGGAGGAATTAGGTTTGCACCCTGTGAAGGCTGCGTCTCGTGAGAATGGCTGCAGAGCGATCCTGGGCGCTTTTGGCAATGCAGCGGGGTCGCAACGCCCTGCAGGGCTCTTTGAGGATGATTCCTGCCCTGATGCCTTGTGGCACATTAAACACACACTGTGCTGCCCAGCCCTCACCCTGCGGATCACTGCATGGCTTCATTCACTGCAGAGCTGCTGCCGCAGGGGCAGTTCTGCTTCCCCCCATCCTCAATGCCACTCCTTGGGGATGGAAAGGAACCCACGGGGCTTTCTGGGGCTGTGTGGTGTCCCCACGTCCAGCTGAAATGCTGCCTGCCAAGCTTTGATGCAGTGCCTGAGTGCCATCCAGGGAGCAGTCTCACACTGATATTTGCTCTGTTTCGTTTCGGTTGGTGTTCGGCTGCCCTTTGCTCTCCCAATGGCGCACGTCTCCCTCCATGCCATCCCCAGCACCTCCAGCTCCCCGCTTTGGCCGAGGCTGTGTGCTCAGATCCTCACCCACCAGCCGTTTCCTCGTGCTCTCAGTAACCTCAGAGCAGCCCTGTGGCTTTCTCCTCTGTCCCTGTGGTGTCTGCAGAGGTCGGTTCTGTGTCTGAACAGAAGTGATGTGCACATGTTGGCTTCTCCTCCTCCCGTGCTTCGGGTCAGGGCAGCCCACAGCCGTTCCGCTGCAGCTCTGTTTGTGCCAGGAGCTGTGAGCACAGCTCCAGCTCGGCTCTGGGGAAGGGAGCAGCCCTGGGATCTGATCTCAAGCTGAAGATGCAGGCTGGGGCGCGTTGGCCCCATCCATCCTTCCGTGTGCACGAGGTGAGTGCAGACGAAGCCTTTTTTCCCAGGAATTTTATAAAGCCCGTCAGTCCTGCGCTGACGTTGTGCTGTTACCATTTCTCACCCCAAAGCTTCAGCTCTGCTGCTCCCCGTTGGCTGAGCTGGTGCCGGGCTCTGTTGGGGCTCGCACAGCACCGCCTCTGTTTGCAAGATGAGCTGGAAGGGAATTGCGATTGCGTTTATCGCGTCGTTCTGATCTTTAAAACACCTTCGATCTGCCTGCGGGGCTTCCTTCGGGTTTTAGACTCCTGTAGGCTCTGGCAAGTCCCATCAGAGCATTCAGCACCGACCCAAATCCCTGGCGGTGGTTTTGCAATGGGTTCAGAGCAACGTGCAGCCCGCACCACAGTCTGCCAGGCCTCAAAGCGCTGAAACCCCGGGACAAATAAAGAAAGATGCTTTGTTGTGCAGATCCCATACAGGGAAATCCATCTGCCTTAGGGGATTTGACCAGGGGTCGGTGCATGCGCTCTTCCTCCCATCCCAACTCCTCTTCCTCACTTTCCTCCGTGCTGGGGTGGCTGAGGAGCCGCTGACCCCATCTCAGCTCTGTCCCCCTTCAGCCCCACGTGGTGCTTCCCAGTGCTGCTGCATTCCTCAGTGATTTCTCCTTGCATGCAGCTCCTGGATGGATCCCAAGCTTTCCTAATAGGACAGGAGATGGCGAATTCCCCGTTTCGCCTGGGCTGCCCCCTGCAGCACTGACCGTTCCGTGCCGGTCACAGGAGCGACCTTTTGGCCTCAGCCGCTCATTCAGTACCTCCAGATCTTTAAATCCCCCCCCGAGGTCGTTGTGCAAGTTTGAAAACGTATTGGAAAAATGCTGTTGGCAAAAGGCAGCAGAAGGGGCCAAGAAGTGCAAATGGCTCCTTGAGCCCCGCTGCCTTCGTCAGCCTCTCCTTCCAGATTCCACCCGACCGCAGGAAGCCGCCTGCCATCAGATAAAACACGCTGGGCTGCTCTGCTAATAAGTGGTTCTGGGGCTAATAGCTTCTCAATGAAGGGGCACTGCTATTTATAGGACCCAACAGTGGATGTGCTTTGCTGATTGGGAGCGTTAACGAGCCGTTGGGTGCAAAGGTGGGTGCTTGTTGTTGCTTTTCCAACCTTGTGAGGCTCTTCAGGTCTTTAGGTTCTTTATAAGGGTCACATTGGAGCCCGAATTGCCTTTGGATGTTCAAACATCCCTAATAAACGGGAGAAGCTTTGCTCGTCGCCTTTGGACTCGACCTTTGGCTGCTGCTGAAGGCTGTTGCTCATAATACAAGCAATAAATGGGTATATTACAGAACAATTGAGGTTGGAAGAGGTCGCTAGGATCATCTGGTCCAGCCACCACCCATCCCCACCGTGTTTGTGTGTCCCCTCAGCTGAAAAACAACTGTGATCCTGCTGCCCACCGCACTGCGCTCCCCCTGTTGTCGGAGCTGAGAGCAGTGTGCACGAACCCATCGGCCCACATCTTGAAATTCCTTTCACCCGAAAGCACAGAGCAAACAGTGAGGTCTGGAGCAAAGCCGTGGCGGTGCTGACGTGACCTGACTGCACCCAACGGCACCCAAATGGGCCATAAATGGTGCATAGCAGGGAGCCGTGAGCCAGCAGGCGAGGACAGGAGCGGGTTCAGTAATAGGGTCGATGCAGGTTCAGTGACCCATTAGCAACGCTGAGGGATGCTGCTTGGCTGCAGCACACCTGAGGCGCTTCGGTGCCGGTTTCCCAGTGCCTGTTTGCGACCCTTCGCTCTTTCCTTCCATCCCTGCAGTCATCCTGACGGATGAGGAGGTGCAGAGGAAGCGTGAGATGATCCTGAAGCGCAAAGAGGAGGAAGCGCTGAAGGAGAGCCTGAAGCCCAAGCTGTCGGAGGAGCAGCAGAAAGTCATTGACATCCTCCTCGAGGCCCACCACAAAACTTTCGACACCACTTACTCCGACTTCAACAAGTTTCGGGTACGTTGGGGGGCACGACAGCCCCGATTCCCACCTCAGCACCAGCAGCTCCAAGAAACTTCATCAGTTTCATCCTAATAAAACCCGGTGCAAATATCTCGGTGCTCCCCTCAAGCTTGTTCTCCCAGCCCCATTCCTCTCACCTCGCTCTCTCTTCCAGCCCCCTGTGAGAAGCAAAGTCAGCAGCAATACAGCAACGCAATCCTCCTGTGTCGTGTCCCAGGATTTCTCCTCGGAGGACCCCAATGATGTTTTTGGCTCTGATGCCTTCGGTGCATTCCCAGGTACTGGACTCAGCTCTCTGTGTGGCATTTCAGGCATCCTTATGCTATGGAAGCAAAAGGGGAAGAGATTTTTCTAAGCTTGGCCAAGAACGAAATAGTTGTCTCAGCTCTCCTAGGGAATGCATTTGACTCTAAGAGCCTCCTGAGGGTGTTCAGAAGGCTCCTGATGAGCTGAGAGCATGAAGTGCTTGGCTGCATCGGGACCATGAGCTGGGTTGCCGCTGCTCTGCCTGCAGTTAGACCTAAACTAAAAATCCCACAGCTGGTGTGACCAAAGCGCTCTCCCAGCCCAAGACAAAGACCTCCCAGCACAACAGGCACCATCCCTGCTTCGGGCTGACACCCCTCCCTGTTACATCTCACCCCCATGGACCACCTCCCTCTTTCCAGAGCCCATGGAGCCCCCGATGTTTTCCAACCTGGATCTTTCCGAGGAGAGCGATGAGACCCCCTCCATGAGCATCGAGCTGCCCCAGCTCCCCATGCTCCCACACTTGGCTGACCTGGTCAGCTACAGCATACAGAAGGTGATCGGCTTCGCCAAAATGATCCCCGGATTCAGGTGAGATGTTGTCCCCACGCCAGGTACCCACGATGGTTTTCTGCTCCCGGCAATTCAGTCCCAGCTTCCACAGTCATTTTTCTCCACTTCTCTCTGCCCCCTTCCCAGCTCTGTTCTCACCTTCTTGTTCTCCCTCCCTCTCCTTTCCTGGGGTTATTCCTCTTTAATCTTGAGCTGGATTCACCCTGGCCACATAAACAAAATGCCTGAGCTCCTCAGAAAGATGCTAAGGCCACATGAGTGCTGCTCATCTTGCTTGTGTGTCCTGAGATCCCGTTTAACACCAGCCCCGCAAGAGTCAGCCTGGAGCCCAGAGCACTGGGTGCTGCCACTCGATACACGGAGCTGCAGAAATACCCACTGCTTAATTACCCAGAAATTCAGGGTGAGGGAGAAGCCGGATCTTGCCTCTGGTTGTGGACATCTCCTCATTCCCGCCCGCAGGGATCTGAATGCAGAGGATCAGATTGCCCTGCTGAAATCCAGCGCCATTGAGGTGATCATGCTGCGCTCCAACCAGTCCTTCACCTTGGAGGACATGTCGTGGACCTGTGGAAGCAATGACTTCAAGTACAAAGTCAGCGATGTCACCCAAGGTAAAGGTGCTGCCGGGCTGAGGGCTCAAAGGTGGCGCCCCAGCCTGAAATTCAGGTGTAAGAAAACCGTACTGAGTAAACTGCAGATATTCAGGTGGATTTTAAACATCTGCCAGCACCTGGGGAAGAGCATTGGAGTAACCCTGGGATGCTGAGATCCTCAATGCAAGGCCTTGGAGTAGCCCTGGGATGCTGAGATCCTTGGTGCAAGGCCATGGAGTAGCCCTGGGTTGCTGAGATCCTTGGTGCAAAGCCTTGGAGTAGCCCTGGGTTGCTGAGATCCTTGGTGCAAAGCCTTGGAGTAGCCCTGGGTTGCTGAGATCCTTGGTGCAAGGCCTTGGAGTAACCCTGGGATGCTGAGATCCTTGGTGCAAAGCCTTGGAGTAACCCTGGGATGCTGAGATCCTTGGTGCAAGGGCAGAGATCCCCCAGTGAGATCCCAAGGAAAACAGGCAGAGCAAACAGCACATCGGGACCAGGCGTGGGACCACAGAGGGCAGGGATGGGATCTGTTTGCTGCGGGCTGTGGGCACACAAAACGTGTTTTGGTGTTTCTGCACAACGTGGCGCGGTGTGGGAGCGATAAGGAACGCAAACCCCCCGTAGGTTAATTGCCTTTCTGAAGTCATCTGCTCCATAATCTCCTGCCTTAAAGACGCTGCTGGGGAGGAAAGATTGAAAGAAATAATGTTTTTAAAGCTCTGTCAAAAATCATCCTGTGATTCTGTGATCCTGGCGCCCTGCTGCACTGAAGGAGGAGGCGCTGAGCTCCGCGCTCATCTCTCAGCTGCAGATCTGAGGTCTCACCCAGGTGCTAACAGCTCCTCTCTGTCCCCAGCCGGCCACAGCATGGAGCTCCTCGAGCCGCTCGTGAAGTTCCAGGTGGGCTTGAAGAAGCTGAACCTTCACGAGGAAGAGCACGTGCTCCTCATGGCCATCTGCATCCTGTCCCCAGGTAGGAGGACGCTCGTCCCCAAGCTCCCCACCCTGCCACGCTTTGGCAGCACGAAGGCTCCACCAATGTCCCCAAGCCTGGCAGTGCCAGGCTAACAGCCAGACTCGATGACCTCCAAGGTCTTTTCCAAGGGCTGATCTGATGATGCTGGTGTTCCCTAGATCGACCCGGCGTTCAGGACACCTCGCTGGTGGAGTCCATCCAGGACCGCCTCTCGGACATCCTGCAGACCTACATCCGCTGCAGGCACCCCCCGCCCGGCAGCCGCCTGCTGTACGCCAAGATGATCCAGAAGCTGGCCGACCTGCGCAGCCTCAACGAGGAGCACTCCAAGCAGTACCGCTGCCTCTCCTTCCAGCCCGAGCACAGCATGCAGCTCACGCCCTTGGTGCTCGAGGTCTTCGGCAACGAGATCTCCTGATTCCAGCCGTGGGTTTGAACACCCGCGTCTAAAGGGATAAGTCAGCCTTGGTCCCGAGAGGAGGGCTGTGACCCTGGGAGGAGGTTGTACATAGTTTGGTTTCACACTACTGCAGGTCCTGCTTTGTTTTCTTAGCCACAGCAGCCGAGGTTTGCTCGCTGCAGACCCAGATCTGTGCATTTCCCCCCCCCCCCCATGAGTGCTTCTTTCACTCGTCTGCAAGAGCTGACTTATCCCTTTATGGATGTTTTGAGGCTGGGCTGCCTTGAACCACTTTTTTTCTGACCAGAAACTGGGGCTGCTCGGAAGGAGAGGCTCAGGTTTTGCAGATTCATGGCACTGGGGAACCATCGATGGCATCTGTTGAACCTGAGGGACCCCTCCGCTCACCCCCAACTTGAGAAATGTGATGCTGATGGAATTGCACACCCCAGATCCATGCAGGAAAATGCTGAGGCTGCTCCTCAGAGCCCCACAGACAGCGGTGAGAGGTTGGAGAAGGGAACCACAGCCAGGAAGAGCCAGCCGGGCTGTGATGTGTGTTCCCAGCACTACTGCCACCCCGTGTCCCACATCAGCCCCACTGCTGACACAACCCTGTGCGGGTGTTGTCTGTTGTCACGTTGAGGCCAGGCGGAGCTAATTGGGCACGCTGAGGTTTCCTGTGCAATGCTGGAGCTCTGGAAGGTGCCCCATCCCCGCTGACCCCACTGAAGCCACTTCTGCAGGGTGGTGGTCCTTCAGGAGGGGTCAATGGGAGCAGCACCAGCACGAGGACGGATTTGGGGCCATGAAATGCAGAGGAGCAGCGGGAGCTGAGTGCCTTGGTGGGACCCGGGCAGCACCGCGTCTGGGGACACACAGCGGTCACGATCATGGACAGCGGGGGGTGGGGACCCTGCAGGCAGCCGGACCTGGGGACAGTGCCTGGGGATGGGCGCTGCGCGGTGGGCACAGGGGGCAGCGGGGCTCCGTCTCCGTGCAAATAAACGTGGCCTGGGAGCAGCACCGGCTGCGCTGTGGGGCTGTGTCCGTCTGTCCGGGTCCGTGTGAAGCTGCTGGAAGTGTCCGTCTGTCCGGGTTTGTGTCTGGGTGGCGCTGCTCTAGGTGTCCTTCTGTCTGTCCGTGCTGTTAAGTGTCCGCATGTCCCTCTCTCCCCATCTCCTTTCGCATCCCCGTATGCGCATGTACGCGACCACACGTATCGCTGTGTCACCCCGTATCTCCTCAGCTCCCCTCCCCGCAGCCCCGTGTCACCGTTCCCCTCCCACGTACCCCCCCCCCGTGTCCCCACGTCCCCGCCCCCTCCACGTGTCCAAAACTGCGCGCTCTGCGCATGCGCGGGTGGGTCAGGGCGTGGCGAAGCCGCACATGCACAGAACGGAAGGGCGGGGCGGGCAGAGCCGGCGCACGCGCAGATCAGAAGGGCGGGGCGGGGGCCGTCAGGCGAGACGTGCGCATGCGCCGTCAAAAGGCGCTGTGGAGGCAGCGCCGCACATGCGCAGTGTTGTGGATGCAGTGCCGCGCATGCGCGGCGTCGTGGAGGCGGCACCGCGCATGCGCAGTGATGCGCGGCGCTTTGCGCGCCGTTCCCCTCATGGCCGCCGCCGTCACCGGGAGCGGGGCCGGGTCCAAGCGGGCCCGAACGGAGCCCGTTCCGCGCATCGGCACCCACGATGGCACCTTCCACTGCGACGAGGCGCTGGCATGCTTCCTGCTGCGCCTGCTGCCGCGCTACCGGGTACGGCCGCGGCCTCCTCGGGCCCTTCTGCACTCGGACCCGGTCTTACCTTCCGAGTCCTGCCCTTCCTCAGGGTCGCCCGTGGGTCCCCCGGCCCTGCTGGAGCCCTCAGTGCCACTAAAGAATCTCCCTGGGGTCCCCAAGCCCACGTTTTCTAGTCCCCCATCCTTCTATGGGGCCGCAGTGGGGTCCTCAGCCTCCTTTTGGGGTCCTCAGTCTCCGCTGGGGGCCGCTCCTGCCCTCATTTCCCTTATAACGTCTCCGGTCTCACCCACTGACCACTCTGGTATCCCCAGCCCCCTGCTGGAGTCCCCAGTCTCGCTTAGGGCCCACCTTGCGATCCCCAGGCCGTTGTCAGAATCCATGGTCCCACCTGGAGGACGCTTTCAGGTCCCCAGTCCTTCACTGGGGCCACACTGAGATCCCCAGCTCCTTGTTGAGGTCCTCCGCCCCATGTGGTGCCCGCCCTTATGTCCCCATTTCCCCCTTGAGGTCTCCATTCTCCCCAGTCCCACTGTGGGCCCCCCTCAGCCTCACCCCATGCCTCAGCAGGACGCAGAGGTGGTGCGGACCCGGGACCCCCAACGCCTGGCCCAGTGCGATGTGGTGGTGGATGTGGGGGGCGAATATGACCCCGAGAGGCACCGCTATGACCATCACCAGAGGTGAGGCACTCCACCACGTTGGGGTCACCACATAAGGGAGCCCCCCGCGAGGGCTGACCCTGCGACCCCACAGGTCTTTCACCCAGTCCATGCGGAGCCTCCAGCCCAGCAAGCCCTGGACCACCAAACTGAGCAGCGCTGGGTTGGTTTATTGCCACTTTGGCTCCCAAATCCTTGCTGGGCTTCTGGGACAGCCAGAGGACAGCCCTGTTGTGACTGCACTCTACGATAAGGTACGGGGGATTTGTGACCCACCAGCATGACTTTCCCTTGTGGAAACCACCCCATAAAAGAGGGGTTGGGTTCCAGGCGTTCTGACCCCACCCTGTCCCCAAGCTCTATGAGAACTTTGTGGAGGAGATCGATGCCATCGACAACGGCATCGCGCAGACGGACGGGGAGCCCCGCTACGCCCTCACCACCAACCTCAGCACCCGCGTGGGGCACCTGAACCCCCGCTGGAACGACCCCGACCAGGACACTGAGGTGGGGACACGTGGGAAAGGGGGAACGCAGAGCTGCATTCTTTGGGGTCACTGCTGATCTTCTGCTGCATCCCCAGGCTGGGTTTAAGCGGGCAGTGGAGCTGGTGGGCAGTGAGTTCATGGACAGGCTCGACTATTATCACCGTGCCTGGCTGCCTGCGCGGGCGCTCGTGGAGGACGCCATCCGGCGCCGCTTTGAGGTGCTCCCTGTGCTTGTTTTGGGGGGGTTTAAAGGGTGGGTGGAAGCCTGGGGCAAGGGGAGGCCAGGTCCCCTTGGTGTTGACCTCCCTGCACAGCTCAGGGCACATCTGTGCGCCCCGTTTCTCTCTCTGCACCCATACAGCCACCCTCTGCGCACCCCTGTAACACTACACTGTCACGTTGCTTCCCACCCTCCACCACCACTCTCCATGCACCCAGAACAAATGGTGGTGCATCCCCACAGTGCAGGGTCTCTGGGAGGGGGACCTTGGGAGGGGGGGGCTGTGCTATTCAGATGGTAAAAAGCGCACAAAGGGGGGAGAAGCTGAGGTGCAGGGCAGTGCTGGGGCACAGGGCAGGACCTCACGTGCCACCACGCAGCCGCATCGTGTTCCCTCTGCAGGTGGACACAAGCGGGGTGATGCTGGAGCTCCCGCAGGGCGGCTGCCCCTGGAAGGAGCACCTCTTCAGCCTGGAGAAGGAGCTGGCGCTGCCCAACCCGCTCCAGCTGGTGCTTTTCCCCGACCGCAGCGGGCAGTGGCGGGTGCAGAGCGTCCCGGTGGGGCCACGCAGCTTCGAGAGCCGGTGAGCCCTGTCCCCAGCGCATCCCCTGCCAGGAGGGGACAGGATCTCAACCCCTTGCCCCTTTTCCCACCATCGCAGCCTCCCTCTCCCCGAGCCATGGCGGGGTGTTCGTGACGAGGCGCTGTCTCAGCTCGCCGGCATCCCCGGCTGTGTCTTCGTGCACTCCAGTGGCTTCATCGGAGGCAACCGTACGCGGGAGGGGGCTTTGGAGATGGCCCGGAGGACGTTGGCATTGCAGGGGGTGGGAGCACAAAGCGGATGAGTTCCCCACCCCCCAATGAGTTGTCTGTGCTGGGACTTCGCATGGACTGTTGGCACGGTCACAGCAGGACACCAAAGCAGCTGTGAGCTGCCACTGGTCCCAGTTACAGCGTTGGACCGGTCCGAAAGCACAGAGCAGACCGAGAGGCTTTTAAGGATTCAGTGCTCTGAAGCCTGGCCTGTTATGTACTGGCTGCCAACACCAGTAAAAAACCAGTGCATTCCCAATGCATCTGCTGGTCAGGTAGTGGGAGCTGCTTTGGAGGTGTCCTGGGGCACAGGGGGGCACATGGGGTTCCAAAAGGTCACACGCTGAGGTGCAAAAGCAGGTGCAGCCTCAGCATCCCCAGCACTCTGTTGTTGGTTTGGGGGTTGGACTCGATGATCTCTGGAGGTCCCTTCCAACCCCTACAATTCTGTGATTCCCTCCATCCCAGCTGCCCCTGGGAGGGGAACGTCACCAGCCCAGCTGTCCTGGGGAGGACACAGACCCCCCCCCTCGCTCCCCGCCTCCCGCTGCAGGGCGATGCGGGCAGCCTGGCTGTTCCTGCTGGCTCTGGGGCTGCCCTGCTGCCCCCCAGGCCGCCGCTGCCCTTTGGGGGGTCCCCAGGGCCTTCCCCCCACCGCCGGCGGCCGCAACGAAACCCTGGCAGGGAGCGGGCAGCCACGGGTGCCAGACGTGGCCATGCTGGTGGCTGTGGGTGGGTGGCTCGGCGCCGTCCTCGCCTACGTGGGACACTACGTGAGGAGGAGCCGCGCCGAGACCCGCCTGCACCTCGAGTACCTGCGGGCGCTGCCCTGCCGGCGGCTGAGCCCCGGGGAGGAGGAGCCGCTCAGCGCCGTCCTGTGACACCACGGACACCACAGGGGCAGAAGTTCCCAGCAGCAGATCCAAACCGGGGATCCCCGCGGGCGAAGCATCCCTCGACGTCTCCGGTGTGAGTTGTTTACCCCACGTCTCCGTTGGGCTGCTGCCGTCTTTTCCGTGGGGCGGAGGGGCAGTTTCCCTGCCTCGTTTCGGGGTTTGGTTCTCAGGAGGGTTGTGTGGGTCCTGGGGGTGGTGGGCTGAGCAGGGCCCTCCCTCCCCGTTTCCTCTGCGGAGCGATTACAGCGTAATCCCAGGGATTAACCACGTGTAATCCAGGGCTTTAAGCACTGCCCCCCTCAGCCTCCCCTTAATCCCACTCCGGCCCATCTGCTCCCCCCAGCGCTGTCAGGGCTCACGTGGGGCTGCAGCAGCTCTCACTGAATGGGCTGGGAGGGGAAGGTCTGTGCTGTGCTGGGTCTCACTGAGCTGCAGCACTTCTGGTGGTTCCTTACGCCCTCAAGGTGAAGCCCAAAGGCTGCATTTAAGGCCAAGGAACCCTCACAGCCCCTTCGGCCCTCAGTGCAGCCACGTAACCACAGAGCAAAACCCCACGCTCATTGGGGGCTCCCCAGGTGTTTGTTGCACACAAATGTAGCAGCAGGAACCTCAGATCTGCTTTGCTGTAGGCACAGAATGGCTCTTCTCCTGCAGGTGCACTCCAAACCATGACCTGACATCACAGAGCAGCACCAGAGCCCCAGAAACAAACCCGAGTGGCTTTGAGAACGCATCCCCCCAACAAACTTCCAGGGAACGTTTCCTTGTTTTCCCTGGACAAGGACAGAGCGAGGAGCAGAGCCAGGCGTGGGGAGGAGGAGCCACCTTTAATCTGCACGGCGCTCGACGGCTGAACCCCACATTCCACAGAATTGAGAGCACGGAGCCGTGCAGAACCTGCAGGGGTACAGGAAGGGACCGCAGCCCCGCGGTGTCCCGGGGAACAGGGAACAGACCCCAAATGTCCTGAGCTGCTGTCAGAGCTCTGAGAAGAGCGGCTGCTCCCGCACGCTGCTGCTGGCCGTCACCACGGCGGGGCTGCGGCCGGGGCTGCCGTAGGGCAGGCGGGAGCTCAGGAAGAAGAAGGGGATGTGGCTGATGGTCCCCGTGGACCAGCACTGGAGAGAACAACGGCGCAAACGTCAGCACAGGGCACCACCGTCCCAAAGAGCAATGGGTCACCATCGCCTTCCCTCCGCCCTCTCTGCACCGCGGGGCAATTTCACCCACTGCATTCCTGACCGAGGTGTGGCAAAAGAGAGCCGGAGCCGCACTCACCACGGTCAGCAGCGCTCCCTTCTCGAAGCAGGGGTGGAAGGCGATGAGCTGCGGCTCGGCGCTCTGCTCCCCCCTCAGGAATCCGCTGGAATGGAAAGGAAAGCTGCAGCGAGAGGTGGCGCAGCGCTCACGCATCGCTGTGGGGTTAAGCGCCATCTCTGCTGCACTTAAAGGCTTTTCAGGATAATGGACAACACGTCCAAAATGTGACCGCTTTGGGGGCAAAATGGTACTGCAGCACTGCCTGAAGCAGCAGTGTGGGACGGCAGCAGCACAGCATCTTTCCCACTGCGTCCCGAGGGTGTTTGACCAACCTCCAAAACACCATGAGAAGCCCCGAACCCATCTGCTACGCACCACGGCAGGAGCTCAAACACGGGGCTGTTGCGGATACGGAACACGGCCACCACGGTTTGCGTCCCCTCAGCGCTGGGATTTCCTGCAGGGGGAAGGGAAGCAGCTGTGAGCTGAGGGTGTGAGGGGCAGCGATGGGACAGCAAAGCGGGAGCGACGTGGGGAACGAAACCACCTCTGCCTGCAGTGCTCCTTTCCCTTTCAAAAGGGATCCCCCACAGGCCGGGGGCAGCCCTGCTTCCCTGCAGCTTTTCCCTCCCCATTTCCTCCCCAGCAGCTTTATAAGAGGGACAAAAAACCAAGCAGCTGAGCTCAGGTCCGATACGGCATCCCCAGCGCTGCACCTCAGCGCTGTCAAAGCTGTGTTGTCTCTGCAGCCAGGAGGGCCTCCATGGCTCAGTTATCCCAAGGCTGCTCCTCGAGTGGGGCCGGGGGCTCAGGGTGCAACGTGGGCGCTGTGGGAACGCAGAGAGCTGGCGGTGGGGCTGGGAGAGGTGATTCTGTCTGGCAGTGAGGACGGAACAGTGCTCTCTCCTCGGGGGATAACCAGGAACAGGCACTGCACATCACCGTGGGGGCGCCAGGGGATGCTTTGTACAGGGGGGCAAAGTCACAGCGAGGAAGAGCGGACCCCCGACCCCTAAGGAGTTTCCCCCCCCCACAAAGAGCAGATTTGGAGCAAAGGTGGCAGGGAGCAGCGCTGCAGCACAGCTCTGACCTCGGATGATCACAGCCAGCCTCTCCCCGGTGGGGTCCCACACCATGGACTGCACAGCTCCGCCGACCCTGGAGCACAGCACAGTGAACCCACAGCTGGGGAGGGGGCACAGAGCCCCTCCACCTCCCAGCATCGCTCCGTGGGGCCGCACGCAGTCAGACCCACCTCTCCTCCCCGTAGGGCGTCTCGAAGGTGGTCTCTGACAGATCTGCCACGATGGAAGCTGTTTTCGAACCTCCCACCTGGCCCTGCATGTCCCCTGAAATGAAGTCCCAGCAGGTGCGCTCGCTTCTGCTTCCCTGCTGTGTGCAGGTTGTCTCTTTGCCCTAAATCTGCTCTTCTGCTCCCAGAACGATGCGGAATTTCCGCCTCTTGGAGCTGTGGAGCCTCCTGCTGTCCCAGCAGCGTCTGCGGTGTTTGGGACGGCGCACAGGGAAGGGTTTCCCTCGACAGAAGTGAGCACCCACTGCCTCCGTGCAAAAGGAGTGCTGAGAGCCAGAGCAAATCTCCCTGTGCAGCTCCAAGCTGAAGATGCGACGCAAGGGGGGAAATACGGACACCCAACTGCTGTGAGGGCCCCCACAAACCTCCTCCTTCCACTCCTTTCCCTGCTGTCCCGGCTTTGCTACACCACAGCAGCTTGGAAGCTCTCCCTGATGGACACTGAGCCTCTCTTGGCCACAACCACCCATAGCTGAAAGCAAAACGACGGCTGGGGAAGCAAACGGGGGTCACTCACCCCTGTACTCAGAGAAGGACAAGGAGTAGATGACGGACTCCCCCAGCACTGTGAAGAGCAGCCGGCTGCCATCAGGGCTCCAACACCCCGTCTGTGGGGCACAGGGGGACGTCAGAACACCCCGCACACCCCCACGTGGGGGGAGATGCCCCTTCCCACTGCGCCTGCCCCACCTGGCAGCGCCCTTTGATCGTGGGCCACTTCTCACACGTCCACATCTGAGCTTCCCACACTCTGCAAGAGAAAGAGAATGACGTGAAAGGGATAAACTGCCCCAAACCTGCCCCAATTCAGCCCCTCTGAGAGGAGCCCGAGGCCTTGGACCTGACTTTACCCCCCCATATGTGGCACGGGGAGAAGGGGAGCAGCGAGGACATAAAGCAGCCAGGTGTGCTTTGATGGGAGGCGAATGAAAATGGTAATGGAATTGAGAGCGAACAAAAGGAGCGGGGCCAGGAGCTCACTTGAACACTGCTGAAGGGGTGGCTGCCAGGACCTTGCTGCCATCGGGGGACCACGCCAAGAAGGTGACCCCACCGCCCCCGAACCACTGCAGCTGGACGCAGTTCTCGGTGGACACATCCCATACCTGGAGGGGCACAGAGGGGTTGGGGGGGGGGGGGGGGATGGCAGCGCTCCCAGCGTCAGCCAGAGCCCAGACGTGGCACAGAGCGGGGCGCTGACGCTTCCAGATCTCAGTGCTCCAAATTCAGGACCCTCCTTTGAGGAAATGCTGTCCCCCGTGGTCACACAGCCTCCTGAGTGTCCCAGCAATGGGGTGACGGCCCCGGACCCCCAAATGTGGCCCCACACTCACCAGCATGGCCGTGTCCACAGGTGAGGCCGAGAGCAGCAGCTTCCCGCTGGGTGCCCACGCCAGGCTGGTGACAGGGCTGTGCCCAGGGTAGGACAGCACCTGAGCGCAGCCAGATGAGGGTCTGCAGGGACAGAAACCACAGCTGATGGGGGACAGGAGGGTCACCAAGAGCTGGTGATGCACCACAGCGCCTTCTGTACCCCCAGCCGGACGGACAGCAGCCTGGATTTAACCTGAAGCTCAGAGAAATGGGCTCGGGGGCACGAGTGTGGGGCTGTCACCGTGTGGGATCGTCACCTGGTGGAGAGGGACGTGGGGTCCAGGTGCCACACGAGGACGCAGCTCTGGCAGGCGACGGCCAGGATGGAGGCACACAGCGGCTTCCAGGCGACGGCGGCCACGTTCCTCTGCAGACGATGCTTCAGCGATGGGATGGTGGCACTGCGGGGAGGAGGGAGCGTGACAGGAGGCCGAGTGGGGTCACAACAACAACGGGGGACATCCCTGGGGACCCCTCTGCAGCCCTGACCGTGGTGGGTGCCTAAAGCCTACGGGCAGGGGGACCCACCGTGAGCTGTGCCCTTGGGGGGGGGGGGGGGACAGAGGGGACCCAGGCAGGTGACGCCGGCGCTGCTGGAGCACACCTTGTGTGATTCAGTGCCCACAGCCCGGGGGGAGATCTGGCACTTGTTGGCTTGAAATCCCAACTGGGGGAGAGTGGCTCAGCGGGGCAGCGCTGCTTGGGCCGCAGCATGAGCCGGGAGAGTCTTCTCTTAAGGAGGGCTTTATATGCCTGCCGAGACCCGCCGGGGGAGCAGGGAAACCTAGAGGAGAAATGAGGCTGAAGGGCAGGAGAAAGCCTGGCTGGGGGCTGGGGGTGTGAGGAAGGGTCCTAACGCAGCGCTGTGAGAAGTTCTGGGGGCAGGGAGCAGCGAGAGCACAGGGGTGAGGGGGGGCTGCTGGGCATGTGGCTCGGGGTGGGTTTGGGGGGGGGGGGTTTGGGAGCTGCCCCTCTCCTCACCTGCTCGAGTTGTAGACCCGCACGGAGTCGTCCAGCAGAGCCACGGCGAATTTGCTGGTGTGTGGATGCCAGGCGAAGGCACGGATGCTGCAGCCGGCCCTGCGGGAGGAAGGGGCACAGGGAGCAACCCAGACCCACATCTGCCATCCCCCAGTTCCAACTCCCAAAGCCACCACCAAAATAAATCTCAGCTTTCACTGCTCAGCAAGGTGGCATCCTCTGCGAACTTCCCTTCCTCCTGGCTGTTTCTCACAGGCTGCTCAACAAACAGTCACCGCTCACCGCTTCACCAAGCCCTGGTTCAGTTTAATGCTGTTCCTCCCACGTGCACCACACAGCACCAGGGTACCAAGCAGCCCCAGGCGATGGGGAATGAATCCCCTCAGCATCCCTGTGCTGGGGAGGCTGAGCACAGAACAGAGGGGTGATGCCGTCCTCTCCCTCCGCTCCACGGCACCGTTCTGCAGGTGTGGATACACCAGGGGACGGGGTGACACACACACACACACACACACATCTTGCACGGACTGTGGCCTCACAGCACACAGCACTCACCAGTCGACCGCCTGGGAGAAGGCAGCAATCATATCCTCACTGGTCAGCTGCAGGGGAAGGGGCAGACAGGGGGGATGTCAGCGCTGAGAGGGCAGAAAGCCCCTTCCCCCCTCAGCTTCATTCCCTCTGCATCCCTTTGCTGTCCCAGCGCCCTTTCAGCGCCGTTTCTCCTCCCATCACAGAAGGGAACTCGCAGTGTTTTGGGACCCACCGAGAGGTGTGGGAGGAGGGAGCCGTGCAGGGAGGAGAGCCATCGGCACGCGGTCAGAACGCAGCTCAGCGCCGTCTTCGCCCACTGCAGCCCTGCAGAGAGCACAGAAACGTCAGCACTGCTCCCAGCAGGAGGGGATCCCCGGCAATGGGGCAGCACGGAGCGGTGATGCGGAGCTGCAGGGACCCCCAGACCCCACTCACCCTCCTCCTCGGCGCTGACGATCTCCTTCAGCAGCCCACACAGCCCCCCGTCCCGCCT